GGGCGGGGCCGGAGGCAAGGACTGCACAGTGGCATTGGGTCTGTGCTCATAGGAATGTCTTCTGTCTGCCTTAGCTGCCTGGGCGTGCAGTCCCTCAGCGGGAATGAGTCCCGGAGACCATTGCCCTAAGAGCAGGCAGCTGGTTGCTGAGTAGGCTCCGCAGTTCTGGTGAGAAATCTGCAAAGTGGAGCTTGAACAGAAGACAGGCCCGGAGATGTCCTATTAATTAAAAGCAGCACCACCCAGGCGTGCGTTCCTGCTGGTGCTTTGCACGGCCCGCAGGGTGGCTTCCTCCTTGGGGTCCGGCTCTCGCGCAGACCTTGATGCTGGTGGTTCTCTCCGGACAGCACCAGCACTGGCGCATCTCACATCGAGGCCTCGCTCTGTGCCATCCGTCAGGCAGCCCCCTCCATCAGGGACTTTGGGCACTGGGAGGACGGTGGTGTGGCTGAGAAACCAGGATTTTCAATGTCATTTCATCTTAATTAGAATTTACACTTGAATGGACACATGGCTCGTGGCCAGTGCACTGGACAGTGTGGGAGTCCTCTCTGACCGGAGGCCAGGGTCCCTCCTGGACTTTCCAGTCAGGTTGTCCCCAGCGGCCAGGCCACTAGCGCCTGGACCTGGCGTGTGGCTACAGGCCGAGTGCTGGGTGCGCCAGCGATGCGCAGCCGCGTGTCTCCGCAAAGCTCACAGCTGCGGGCTCCCGGGGGCGAGCAGCGCTGGATGAAGTACCTGCCTGATTTTATTTTATTTTTTTCTGCCTGATTTTACAGCGCTGAGGGGAGTGGCAGGCTGTAACGGGGCAGAAGACAGCTGCCTGCCTCGCACTACTTGAGGCTCCAGCACCCGAGTGTTACTCACCCCCTTTGCACGGGGCTGGGTGTTTTGCATCATTTGGGTAAAGCCCTGCGGACGGTTTTGACCTTTCAGACCAGCGTCACCTTTGTACCCTCGCGTCCCACTCCACGCGGAGGCGCTCCCCGGCCCAGTGCTGCGCGCAGGGCGGGTCCTGCCGGATCCCTCCTGGGTTTGAGGCCTGAGCAAGTCCCCCCGGCCCCCGCCCCCAGCCTCAGTGTCCCCTTGGCTGCAGGCCCGGTGACCACGCCTCCTCCTCTGCGGGGCACTTCCCCGCGCAGCCACCCACTCTGCGCAGGCGCTGGCTCCTCCCC